TCATCCCCGGAGCCGCGGCCCCTTCGCCCCCGGCCCGAGGAGCGGCGTCCCCGCCCGGCGGCCGCGGCGAGAGCTCCCCCTCCTGTCCCGCTCCTTCCCAGCACGGTGGGAAACACATCATGGAGCCTCGGACACCGAAACGTGTTTAAGCACCAGTCTGCGTGCGATTATGCACGTATAAACCCACACGTCCACCCACACACACGGGGGGAAAGGGGGGAAGCTGAAGGTAAAAAGGGAGGTTGTTTTCTCTTTTTCTTTTTTTTTTCCCAAGTAGCAGCCCCAGACGTCGCAGGCCGCAGTAAAGGTGAGGCTCATAACTGGGTTCTCTTAATATTGCTGATAATTTACCGTATTATTCCCTGCTTGCCAAGGTGTTGTCAGCTCTCCATCAGGTTGCTTGGTAATGCCAGTCACCGTGGAAAACATATGTCTATGCAGTCTTTCACCTGTATCCGAGGGGAAGCCATAATAAACAGCAATTTAAATTCAGGTATTTGGTTTGCTGAAGTGTTTAATTAAACAAAGAAATTCATTATGTGAGTTCACAGAAAAGTTCCATTACGTTGATTTTTTTTTTTTTTCATTTAACTTGAAATGGAAATGTTCCTCTGACTTTTTGTGTGGCACACTAAGATGATGGATTATTTATGCCATCAGAAACAAACAAATGCAGTGAATAATTAAAACACTGGCTCCCAATATTTTTTTTTAATAAGTAGACAGCCATTTTCATACACATGGAAAACATATATACGAGCTTCTCTCTCGCTTCAGTTCCACCCAAACCCCACTTCCACTTCAGTGATGTTTTTTCACCCATACCTTGGAGAAGGGGTACATTCCACTCGTTCCTGAGCTTGGACAAACGCCCACAGCGTTGCTCGCACACAGTAGTGTCTGTAGATTCCTTTCTGCTGTGGATACTAATCTCAATCCAGAGTTTCCTTAGACGATTAGAGGCTGTTCTGCAAAATGTCAAGAGGTAGCTTTTGCAAAGCAGACTCAGTATGGCAGTTGAAATGGGAGTAGTAGCGGCTTTCCAAATACAAAGGTCTGGAAATGTTTGGAGATATTTTAATATTGATGAATATTTCTTTGGGGTTTTTTGTGCGGCTTTAGGGTATCAGTGTCAAATGTATATGAATTAATGGCAAGACAGTGCCTTAACACTGTTAATGTTTTTTGAAACTTCTGGCAAAAAGGGATAAACTTCATTAATTTTATTAATTTTTTAATAACAATTGTTCTTTTGTTCTTTTGGCCTGAATCCTCACAAAATTTGATAAACAGAAAGGACAGGTAACTCGTTTCTATGATTCTTTGTTAAATACTTCCAAGTCTCCTGTTAAATGCCTTTTTGTTTCTTGTTTATTTTCTCATGTTCCTTACAAGAAAAGTAAGCAAGAAAAAGTCTTTAGCATGAGAGAACACCCATGCTATTAAAAAAAAAAAAATCAATCAATATTAAACCTTTTTAAAAGGTAGCAATGCATTAAAAAAAAATTAGTAAAAATAAATCCCGGACACCAATATTGACTTTGGGGAAAAATCTTTATCATCTGTCTATTGCTACACTCTGTGTATCCACTCTGGTTGTTCAGTGGCTCTTCTGTGATGCTTTCTTATTGAATGCAATGCCAAAAATCAGATAGAGAAAAATAAAGGACCTATGGATGAGCAAAAAACTTAAGACACATTATACCAGACTTGAACTTGGCTGTGACAAAATATGGGTTTACAGCCTTATTACAGTTAAGGTCTGTACCTCAGACTGAAATTAATCTTTTAAAAAGAGACTTTGTGAATCTTTTGAAGTTTCACTTGGTCCAAAATGGTGCTCTACTTGCTGTCACAAAGGTTGGTCAGGGCATATACTAAGCCCTACTTTCTTCTTTCATTGGGGCCAACACCCAAAATGCTGATCTCCAAAGGCTGCTTTGGAGAAGGTCTGAGGTCAGCACCCTCCTAACTCTGTGTGTGCTGTGCCCCTGCTTCTTACACACATCAACAGCAGGCAACTGTCAAAGTCGGAAACAAAACCCGTGAGGGGTGAAGACTTGTGCTCTCTGCAACAGTCCTAAGCTGTAAACCTCCCTCTGAGGTGAACTGAGAATGTTTATAGCCAAGGAATCTTCATTTCTTCACCTACCATCTCTTGACAATGACTTTTTCCTCCCCTTCTGATTATTTCTCTTCTCCGTACAGAAAAAGGCAGGAGAGAGTCTTCTTGAGTTTAGTTTAATAAATAGGCAACTCTCCCAGATACTATAACGGCAGAAGAAAAGGGGCAGAGATTCTGTGGGATTGGAATATAGCAGAAAGTTCTCCTTTTGACTTCACTCTTTTTTTTTTTTTAATAGATTAATTTTGCTGATTCTTGAAAATACTGGTACAGTACTCTACGTCAACTTCTTCCTAAGAAGTATCCCTCCTCTTTTTTCTTTCTGTGTAGAATAAAAGAATTTTTTACAATAGTGACAGTGGTTTATACATTTTCTCATAATCCTGTATTTCCCCTGTAAGCTTTGTTGCATGATATAGTATGTCAGTTTAAGTAACATCTGTCAAGGGATGGAAAGCAATTGCAGGTTCTTTTCATTCATAAAGTCATTCTGGAGTTTCTTCATCCTTAATTTTCTTGTCATGCTTTCAAAAACATTACATCATTTTGTCCAAATTACCCCCTGCATTGCATATACAAGATACAGCAGGTTATTCATTTCTTTCCTGGACCCAAAGAAACATGTCAAGGTATCTACACTGATATATACTAAATAATTTAGAGTTGGTAAAAGTTGAGCTTTGGCATGTCATTATTTGACAATTGCTCTTCTATTGCAATGCTTGTTTTCCTGCCAGAATCTCCCCAGAATCCTACATGACATGTGATTCAATCTCTTGATCTTCTCAATTATATTTACATTTATTTTACACATTCTAATATATAATGGCAATGCCTTCACATTGATGTGGTGAAAACTCTGACAAAAAATCCAAACCTATCTTGGGCATGCACAACAGAGATCTATTCAGGATTAGAATAGGGCACATATTTAACAAATCAAAGAATAGCTGGGATTGGAAGTGACCTCTGGAGGTACAGTCCAACCTCCCTGCTCAAAGCAGAGCAGGTTGATTTCTGTGTCCAGTCATGTCTTGAATAAGTACGAAGGCTCCAGAGCATCATGTTCATAGTAAAAAAAAAAAAAAAAAAAGCTTTTTCTTATGTTTATATGGAATCAGTGTACTTCTACCCAAGGCTCATGTGCCTCTTGTCCTATCACTGAAAAAAAGCCTGGTTCTGTTTTTCTACTTGCCTCTCCTCATTCAGATATTTATACACATTGATCATATCTTCCCTGGGCCTTCTCCTTGCTAAACAACCCCAAATCTCTCAGCCTCTCAAACATCAGATGATTCAGTCCCTTTATCATCTCCATGACCTTTCTCTGTTCTTGTTCCAGTGTGTCCATGTCTCTCTTATACTGTGGAGCTCTGATCTTGACCCAGCAGTCCAGGTGTGTCTCACCAGAGCTGAGCAGAGAGGAAGGATCACATCCATCAATCTGCCAGCAGTGGTCTTCCTAATGCACCCCTGTCATCTTTGCTGCAAGGCTGCACTGCTGGCTCATGTTCAGATGTTGAATACCAGGGTCCCCAGGGCCTTCTCTGCAAATCTGCTTTTTAGCTGCTTCCCCAGCTTTGTTACTACAAATACTGTTCTGATCTGCACGCAGGATTTCACATTTCTTTGCTGAAATTCATGGGATTCTTTTCAGCCTTTTCTCCTGCATCTTATTAAATTTGTTTTGATTTATGATCTTTTAGGTAATTAGTAATACTATTAGCTGGAAATATTTTGTTTTCATGAACTGTGTGGCTTTTCCTAATTAAATCATGCATGTAACATTAATGATAATAATCTATGTCTCTTACCGTAAGTAGATTTTTCTCAAAGACAGTTCTTGGAATCCTTCTCTACACATACAGGATCTTTCACCTTCAAACATGATCAGCGTTTGTATCCTTCTCCATCCAAGATTCTTGAAGTCAGGTGTGGCTATTGATTTCTTATCACAGTGCTACTGGGTTAAGTGGAATTGACATGTTTTCACTACTCGTTTTCAGGTCACCAGAGGGTGCAGATGAGAGACAGTCACAGGTAACTTCCATCCTACCCAGATGGCTCAGCAAATGCTTGCCATGAGACTTCAGCTTTGGACAACTTCTGGGAGTTGAGGCTCAGGAACACCATGCTTATGTTCCTTAGCGTGCACTGAAATCCTGCTCAAACACGTGGCAAACCCTGCCATACCGGTGTTTATTCTGATTATCACTAGAGGTCCCCAGGTACACCACCATTCCTGCAAAATCAGGCAGCAGTGGCTTGCAAAGCCAAGGCTCTGTATTATTTCTTCCTCTCAGCCCTCAGGACAATGTGAGAAGTTTCCTGCTGCACACTGTGTGTCACAGCTGGTGTCTTGAGCTCAGATGAGAGGAGCTGTAGACTGAGGTTCACTGGCTTTGCCCAAACTGTCAACACTAAAACCAGGTCCATGGCCAACTCCAGAACCTTGCCACCCATATGATTCATTGGGGCATTCTTGTCTGTTGTTAACTAATATTACAACTATCAGTTAGTATTACAGCTATTTCACAGATGAGAAATCATCAGGCGAGAGATAAAGTGACAAAACATATGTACTAGAAGAGACTCATGGCCTCAACTAGAACTCAGCTCTTATGTCTTGTAAGACAGTCCTGTCACCATTAGAACATGTAAGCTAACCTTCTTGGAAAAAAATGAAATGTGAGCCTCCCTTTGAACCAGCTTGACTTTGAGCTCTCATGAAATACCAACAACCTTTGAAAGAACACAGGGATGGCACCATTGACAGATTTTACCTCAGCTGGCTACAAATAAAGTTATTTGAAATAACTGCCAAAGCTGTAATTTATCAGACTTTTTCACAGATTCCACAAAAGCAAGGAAATTCAAAGTTGAAAGGCTTTCTCCAAGCACATGCCAGGCATTTGTGCATGAATTGCAGGAGGGGAAACGATATGTTTCTTTCAGAGCTGTTGTTGCCATCACGGAAAGCGAACAAGCATCTGTGCTTTGGAAATCAGTGGATGGAAGGTGTTCCGTGAAAAGCAGCATGTGGGAAAGCAGCTTAAAATGGTGAGAGTGTACAAAAGTAGCAGGAGTTCTGAATGCCACCGGGGAGAAGAAGTGGAACAAGGCTGACACATAGAAAGGTGGTGAGAAAGCAAAAAGAAATGCAAAGAGGAGTACACTGAAAGGAAAAAACCCACCCACTTTTGGCTAGGGAATAGGTCTGAACAAGTTCCAAGAGAGGAACAGAGAAAGAGAAAAAATTATAGGGTAGATGGAAAGTGTATCTATTAGATGACTGTGCAGGTGAAAATGTAAGTTGAAATTTTGGTGTTTTACTGTGGAAACAGATACAAAGCTGAAAATCAGATGTTCCAGCAGGACTCCTGATACAGCAAATCTGTACATTTATAGTACATGAAACCTGTAGGATTATTCTTCTCTGTAGTGTTTGCCACTGATCCTGAAAAACAACGGGAAGATTCACATTTAGTGATATTTAATTAAAGAATACTACTTACCTTAAATCACAATAAATAAGGGTTGCACTGCCAGTCCTAAGGCTCTTAATTTCACTCCAGGGCTGATGATTTCCTGTGTCACTACACTGTGAAGCTGAATCCAGAGTAACAATTTAATACTCGAATGCCCAGAGTCAGGCAGATGCTTTGCATAAAAGTGTTCTCTTGTGCTTGTGGAGTGCCTGCAGCTCCCCTGAAGAGCTGGTGGGTGCTAAGCACCTCTGAAAATCAGGTCACTGTCACTCAAGAGCTCATAAAGCAACTGAGGTGCCAAAGTTTAAGACTAAACTTACAAGTAAGTGACATCATTGTGGAAGACTCTGTCTCTGAAGGACTGCTGTGCTTTCAGTCATTTGAATTTTGGTATGTGATAGACATGCATTTATAAATTAGATGCCTTTATAGCTTGTAGCACCCTCTAGAAATTAGGATAAAAGAAAGAGGCCATTAGAAAGGAAAGAAGGAAGATGAGGGGAACTAATAAAACAGAAATGGATGGAGATGTTGTTCAAGATTATTTTAAACTAGTTTGGGCATGCCTCATTGGTTCTGAATGCAGATAGGAAGCTTAAAATAAATTAAATTAAGTGAGGTTCTTCTACATAACACATAAAAGAACTGGGGAACACAGTGTCCACAGGATGTTTGGAGAGAAAAAGGTCCAAACAGCTTCAAAGAGGAGCTTGGAAAAGCCAGACTTGGAAGATCTGAGAAATCGCTCCATTTTCATTTATTAAACATGATAGACTTGACAGAGCATCTGGCTCAAGAAGTCTCCAAAGTGCAATCAGGTGGGAGCTGGGTGGACATACCACAGAACTTACTTATCCATATTTGCATCATTTCTCATTCTGTTGCCTTAATCATTTCATTCTGGCTCTTATGGGAGACAGGCTGTGCTACTTTAAATGTTCCTTTCATCTGACTCAATGCTCTCATATTCTATTTTGCATTAGTAGCTTATGTTTTCCCTTCTATAGGAATAGATACTATCTATCTTAACTGTGCTGGCCTAAGTCAATTGGTCTTCCTCTTGTCCTTCTGCAGCAGTAACTATGATTGCTGTGATGTCCAAATATAAACTGCTTTAGAGTGTGTACTGAAGAGGCAGGCAGGCATTTTAATTACAGGGATTAAAAGGAGAACAGATGCAAGTGAGTCGAGAACTAGGTAAATATAACTGCGTCACCTCTTGTACCCTGAGAGTCATCACTCTTTGTCTCCAACAGATTGACATCAGGATAAATTCAAAAGCAGAGGGAATAGTACTGGAAAATACCTATTTTTAACAGACTGGGGTAAAGTGTACAGACAGTACAGATATTATAGATGGATACATTTTAATTTCCCCAAAGCCATTTAGTCAGTGCTACTAAAAATACATTATTTTGTTCAGACACAGAATTACAAAGATGTATTCAAATGGTTTTAACTTGAGCTTTCCAACTCAAATTGAAAAAAAAAACAACTTTTCCTGTATCTGCCATGTTCACTTTCATATATTAAGCTTGGTTCCCAGACTGGCATTATACTCTACCTGGTAGCAAGGCAGTGAGTGGGCACAGAGGTAGAGAGAAGTCCCTTAGAAAACTGTTTCCTCCAGTGCTCAGGGCTTTAAAGTTGATCAGTAAACAGCAAGCCAGTGCTGAGTCTCTGGTGCAGAGTGCTCGTGCTGTGCAGCTCTGCTCAGGGACTGGGTAGTGGCTTTCTTGGGAACTGGATCTTTCAGGCATGTTTCAAAGGGGACTCATAAATAGAAAGGTACAGAAAACCAGGTGGAGGTAACAAAGACACCAGTGACTTCTACAAAGTTTACTTCAAAGGAAATGTGCAGCCAGCGTTAGCTTCCAGTCTAAGTAATAAAAAGAGAAAGACAGAGAAAGGTGTCCAAACCCAGGACTACCTGCAGAAAAAAACATTTAGAATTGTATCTATGTTTCGATTGCCCATATGAATAGCAATCAGCAAAATATAAACAGCACTTCATAAATTACATATATTTAATCCCTGAGAAGGAAGCATTTAAACTGAGAAATGTTCCCACTTATTTAAATCTACATAAAATGTGCATGTTGTGTATGTTTGCCAGTTTCCTGGCCCTACTATAACTATAATCCCTGGTTTCTATCACTACCTGATTTCATGATATTCAATATTTCATGATTTAGGTAGTTTTTCAAACCATTTTCATCTAACATAAAAAAATCCCATTTTTTTCCCTTCAGGACCCTCCTAAATCCCATCATCACCCCTGATTTTAAGGGATACTGAGATGGATCTCATTGAAAAAAGAATCCAAAGAAAATCTAGAAATTTGTGGGGTGGGGAATTTAATAGAGGGTACATGGGTAAGTCTTTGTTCAGCATGGCTGTCAGTTCCTCTTTGCTGCATTTCACTCTTGTCCAAACCATGAATTCCTTAGACAGGGGACCATCTCCTTTGTTCTGGTTTTGAAATGTGTCTGGTTAGAGTTTTCTACTGCTACTGATGTTCAATTAAATACAAATAATAAATAGTTAATGGTTTGCTGAGCTGCAGAGGTGGGGCTAATCAGCTGAGACTTCATGGGGTGGTTAATGATGGATTAGGAATGGGGGAACTGATAAAGCTGAATATTTAAAGACTAATATTGTACAGGATGATGGATGTTTTGTCTGCTTTCATTGCATATGAGCAGAAACTAACAATGTGCTTATCTTCCTCCTCCTTCTATTGTAGATTACCCAGCTCCAAAACGTTGCTGTTCTGAGTCTCTGTCCAAATTCCCCTGAGTGGAGCACTGCCCATCAGGAGATGGCCTGAGAGGCTCTTACAATGGAAATTGGGTGGGGAGGTGAACAGTGACTCTACAAAGGGGGGCACGTTATCAGCTGCACACTCCTCCACTCCTGTTCATACTAAGCTTGCTGAAATGGAGGGGTTTCAATTGATTTTGCTTTCTTTTGCAGTGCTGACTGATGAGCCAGTGAGGAGGCAGCTGCGTTCTGAGGGCATGTGCCACAGAAGGGGTTTGTCCCACTGCCTGCGCAGCGCTGCTGAGACACAGCGGGATCTTTGGCTTTCCATCTGTGCCATGTACTGATGAGCTACTGTATCCCTGAGACTGGTGTGCAGAGTGAAGAGTTACATACACCTTATCTGTCAAAGGAACCATATGTATCACAGATATATTTATTTGTTTTGAAAAAATCTTTTGCATTTGTTATCGTTTATTTACCAGCAACATATCAAGTTCTGATATTGGTATCACAGTAGGTATAATTCGGCTTAAAAATTAATACTTCTAAGTGTCAAATTCTGTCCAAGGGACATGACACCTACTGAAACCAACTGATGCTAAATAATGATGTTTTTTCAGTGTCTAACTATAGGATCAATATGGCCTTCGCCCTTGTCAGTAGTTCTGTCAGCTGCTAGGAAGACAGGCAGCCTGGCAGACAAGACACAGACAAGAAGGTCAAGAGAAGTGGATTCTTTTCTCAGTTTGCCTTAGGCTTTTGCAAAGCCTTGGACAAATCACACAACCTCTCCGTTCAACCTCCCGACTTCCAAAATGGAAATGATCATAACTCTCTGCTTTCCCAGGATGCCATGGAGCAAATCAATTATTGGGAGGAGGGAAAGGGGAGAATAGGTATATGTAGGAACAACTATATGGGTGCTCTGGAAGGAAGAGACAATTTTTCTTTACTTTTATTTCTGTAAATTGTCTTTCTGTAAATTAAAAAATTAAGCAACATCTATAAGATTTGGTCACGTAGACAGGTTATAGTTACTACAATGTATTGGCATTGCTGGTCTCATTCTCCTAAAGACATTGTTTGTTTTGGATAAGGCCAGGGTAACTATGAAAAACTGAAAGTTCAAATGCTCCCAATCAAATGAGAGTGCTTTGCAATTGTTTTACTTTAGATGGCAGTCAGGAAAATATTTCAAAATGTTTCATGTGCTAGAAAAGAGATCCAGAGCTGGCATTAGTAGTGGCTTTGATGTATTCTCTGGTACATTGGTCCAGAGCATGCTGATGTAAACAGAAGTGTCTCTTGACCTGTCATCTTTATTCTTCAGCTTTGATATTGGCCCTATCCAGTGGCTTCCTTTTCCTCCTGGGGAGGCTTTTAAAAGTCATTGATACAGAAAAAAAAAAAAGTTTTAGTTTTCTTGTCTGCTTAAGACTCTAAAGAAATAGACACATCTAAGCTCTTGAAATAGTGCGGGTTTTTCAATACTGCAGGGATATGAGCAAATAAAAAAAAAAAAAAAAAAAAAAAAAAAAAAAAAAAAGCATGTGGTTTTGTCCACAACTTATGATGTGGTAAGTACATCATACTTTTGCTTCTGATGGGGTTTTTTTTGAGATGAAAACTGAGAAGCTCTGTTTCAGAGACAGGCAGTACAAACAGCAATGCCTATGGGTAAGTTAGTCCATCATTGCCTATTATAGGACCCTGGTTTTGATGCCTGTAACTGTCAAATATCAGCTAATTTGTAATGATTTTTTCCTGTGATTGGTGTGCCAGCCTGAAGCTGATTTTTAAAAAACTTCGCTCAGTTTGAAAAATGAGGTTAGCAGAAAAAGAAAACGTTCTCCTTGTGTTGAAAAACATCATGGGGTTGCATGACTGAGAAACTCTCCATGCTCTAAACCTGAAATTCGGCAAAGAATTTGCCAAGGATTTGGAGAGTCCCACTCATAAAGATGTATGATAAGAAGATTAGGATGCAGGTTATGCAGACAAGAGGGTTATTGAGGGTGAAACGAGAAGGCTGTGACAAGATTGAAAGAACAGTAACCCATAGGGATGATGTGTGGGACTGAAGCAAAGAAGTGAGGAGATTTGGAGAATGAAACTGTGAACTTGGACCAGGAGTAAAAAATGAACTACTTAAGCAAGACTCCATGGTTGCTAAGAGAAGGGAAAGGGATGAAGGCATTGGGCTGAGAATGAGAGACAGAAAGTCCTTAGGTATTACAGTACAATCTTCTCCAAGCATCTCTGTGGCCAAGAAATAACAATTAAAAAAAAAACTGGAAAATGACAAAATATTTGCTTTATTTCTCTAGCGATTGCTACTTTTAAAGAACATCAACTTACTGCTGGTGAATCCTGAGAAAGCCCTAGTGATAGTGTGCAGAGTTGTGGATAACGAGGGTTTTGCTCTAGTTCAAAACCATTTGGACTTAGAAGAATTCTACACAAAGAGTACAGAGGCATTCAGTTTTTTAGAACAAAGAGCAGCAATTTTAAAAAGTTAAAGTCTCACACATTAGGAGATGGTAGGTTTACTGCCCATGGAACCCTAATTCTCCCCAGTTTATACGTATTATTTTAAGCAGACTTTAATTGCATAATCATGTTAAGTTTTTCACAGAACACTTACCACATTAAGTGCAAAAATGGATATGGCTCAGGAAATGAATCAAGGAACTTGTCACCATTACAGGATGAGGTGCCTTGGTAGCTCCTCTTAAGTGCATCCCTCCGGCAATTTTCATTAACTTAGGCTTTCTGCACAGAAACATGCCACTGCATTCTGTCATTTCTAAACTGTGTTTATGAGCTGAAATTCCCTATTTAGCAACAGTTTGTTCTGTGACACCAGCTAACTAAACTGCCTCAGTGGCAGCTCCTTCAAAGCAAAGCTTTTTTCTCTCAGAGACAGGCAGCACAGAAAGCAAGGATTTGACACCAGAAACTTAACTCTTAAGTTACCTTTCCAGTTCTCACAGTTTCCTCTATTCTAGTTTTTCCCCTCTCTATTGGGAGAGGCCACTTATGAGACACCACAGGCATGTCCAGGTGTTGCTGACTCCACAGTCAAAGCCCTTCTTTAGAACAGTACCTTTTAGAGCACTGGAGTTGTCCCAGGTGTCAAAACAACAAACATCATGTTATTGAAAAACAGGTAAGGGTGTTCCTTTTTAGCAGCTTCTCCCTTGCAACTGCAAGAGTTATGTTGTGCTTTCCTGGACATCTTTCTCTCTGATGGGATTATTTTCCATTTGCATCTTCTTTTACAGTATCCTTCAATGTAACTCTTTTTATATCATGTGGAATAACGCAAACAAAATTAAGTGACCTGTATCTTGTATTTCCAAAAATAGGAAATGTAACACCCTCATTTTCAATATGACTGTAGTCAAAAGGACAGTTTTCTCCTCAAAACTTTGCATGATTTGTTGCAACAAAGCCTTGAAGATATAGAAGGAACGGATGTCAGTGATTGTAAAGACAGATCATATTCTTTCTGTGGGTATCTGTGTAGCATTAGAGGTATCTGTGGGTGTGAGGAAGTCACTTAAACACAGTTTCTGAAGATAGCCTGGGAATTCTCCATTAAATCTATTCTCTAAAATAGAACATATATTCTCTGAATTCACCAAAGTTTTGGGGGAAGGTACCTGCAAAGAGGCATTGGTGATGGCCGTGCTTTAAGAATTTTAATTTTAAGAATTAAGGAAAGACTACATGATATACAGCAGGTCACACTACGGGATCCTGAAGTCTTCACTTGTGTCCTCAAAATTAGCTGTCTCTTTGAAGTTCACTGTTTGGTTGCAAGTACCTCCTCAGCTCAGAAGGAGCCTGTTCATAACCCCCTCAGCTGGCTCAGAGCAGAGCACCATACAACACAGCTGCAGTGCAAGGCAGAGCATGCAGTAAATAAGGGCTGGTGATAATAAGTTGCCCAAGACAACTCCGGGAAGAGGTAAAAAAGAATGCCCGTACACTTAAATTATTGACGTACAGGATCAGCGGGGTTGGAGAAGACCGTCAAGATCAGCACATCAGCCGTCAGTCCGAGCATCAGACCAGCACTGTCTCCCCTAAACCACATCACCCAGTGCCAGATCCAGGTGCCTCCTGAAGACACTGGTGAGCCCACCAAACTCCCTGAGAAACCTATTCGAAATCCTGACCAAACAAACAGCAAAAAATAAATGCACAGAAATCATGACTATGCAGCTGAAGACTACAGGCCGAACACCCTGCCCTCTCTTCCCCGCTGGTCCTTGAAGCAACCCTGGGCACAGGCAGAGCACATCCCGTTCTGTGGGACACCCCCAACCAGCCGGGAGCCGGGAGTAGGCGCGGGGAGCGTTACCCCTCCAGCGGGACCCTCTGCCATGGCTCTGGAAAGCAACAAGCACAGAGTGGGGAATGAAGCGACGGCGCTTTATCCCCGCGGGTTCTGAGGGCAGGGGACAGCGGGCAGAGCTCGCTGTCTGAGGACACCAGCGCGCCCGTCTGCAGCCCCCGCCTCGCCGCCCTCGCTTTACGGCGCGCCGTGTTTTGCGACGCCCAAGATGGCCGCCCCCAGGGCACAATGAGCCCGCTCCGGCCGCCGCCGCCGCCGCT